ATTTATCGAGGATAATATTATAAAGGTCATAGCACAATATACCCCAATCCAGTTTTTCCGTCTAAAACTATTTCAATGTCTCCCTATTTAAGCCCTAGAAACCAGGAGCGATCTCAATACCAAATTTGGGGATTCCAGCTATTTCCATTTCCCAATACAAAATTTAGTAGAATCCTAGATACTAACAGTGAACCAAAGTTAGTACCATGTAGTACTTTTCGGAAAATAATAGTACGCATTGGCAAAAACCACCTCCATATCTCAATTCCAGACACCAACAGAGAACTCAATATTTAATTTTGGGATTCCCGCTCTATCCCTTCACCCGATACCAAATATAGTACCACTTAGTAATCTATATATATAAAAATCAATTTTTGTTTGTTGGTAACGGAATCAGTTGAAAACGGCTGGACCGATTTGCATAATTTTTTGTAAAAACTTTCGTCATACCCCGAGTTAGGTTTTAAAAGAAAAAAATATAGACCACGCTCACTTTTGCGCCCACAATTTTGATTTATCTAAAATCCTTATATTTGCCAATATAGAGGTGATATCGGTTTGAAAATTATTGCACGAGATACTGTTGACTTTCCATCCCCCTCTAAGTATTTATTTGGGGCTGAGGAACTGTCGTTGTCAGTACTTTTTAATCTATATCTATCTATATATGTAAAAGAAAGTTGTCTTAGTTACTACGCTTATAACTTAAGAACCGCTGGACTGATTTTAACGATCCATACAAATTCGGAATTGTCTCCTCTCCGAAAAGGATAATATCCAAAAAAATCGCTTAAAAATGTGATATATTAAAATATTAAAAAGTAAGTCAAAATAAAAAAAAATCATGCAAAATAAAACATTACTATTGTACATTTCAAAAGTCAAAATGAAAGACTTTTGAAATGTACAATAGTAATGTTTTATTTTGCTTGATTTTTTTCTATTTTGACTTACTTTTTTCTAATGTACATTTGTAGTGTGTTTTATAATTTTTATTTTTGAATTCAAATATTAATACCAATTTATTTCATTGACTTGATTTCTTGAGAAATGAAATTGATGGCGAGTTACATGGAAGTGTAGTACCGAATTATGTGGTGGCGAAACGGAATAGATGATGTCGAAATAATTTAATGGAATCGAATTTTAAAATGGAAGTACATTGTATTGCCAAACTATAAAGGATCTTTAAACATTTGCTGTAAAAAATCAGCGAACAAGTTGAAGATTTTTTCAATGTGTTATTCTTCTTTTGTCAATTTTTTTTCAATTTGTATTATCTAATTGAATCCAGGAAATTTTTTGTGAACAAAATAAAGAATAATTTTTCACTATACACAAATTTTCACCAAAAAATTAAATAAGTGGGAAATACGATGTTAACTGACATCTACCTTTCAACTCCAGGGCCGACATCGTGGTTCAGCTGGAAGATGCGAACACATTTGAACAAACAAAAATTACCGAAGAAGCCTAATGGGGGTCATTTCAAAGCGTGGAACTACTTCTTTCCTGTCACAATAATCCATCCAATGTACAATCAGAAAAATACCGAATATAAAGGGTGGAAAATAGTGGAGCGAATGGGACTCTTAGTAAGAAAAGGATTTCTATCCTTCCAGAAATTCTTCCCAAACATTCAAGACACCTTAAATCGCTTTTGCAGGTCATGATCATATCGATCATAACTGACGGATAAGGGTACAACCCGATTTCATATTTATATAACCATCGTATGATTAAAGCTATTTTTGGTGTCTTGGTCACTTTTTTAATATTTTGTCCATTATTTGGCATCTTTGTTTCTTAGGAGGTAGAGAACCTCTTCGCATAAAGTTTTAAATTTTTAAGTAGGGCCCATTTTGGTCTTGACCACATTCATTAATTGATTTGGTAGGAAAGCATCATACAGATAATTGCCACATAGGGATTTGTTTAAGTAAAGTCCCCACATTGGAGTATCCCCAAGTCCACTTTCACATCTAATTGGTTGTCAGAAAAGAAAATTTTGTTTTCTATTGAATTTGTTACCCCCAAGAGAATATTGGTTGGGCCACGTTTTGGTATAACCCTTACATAAATGTATCCCTGATTTCAGCTGTGACCGTGGTCTTGGCCACGTTTTTCAACTGATTTGGCCATTATTTGCTGTATTTAGGCTACTTTGTGAGTAGAGAACCATCTTACAGGAAAATGTCAACATATGTAAATATTTTGGTACAGTCCCGCGGACAACAACGCGGGTATTGTTTAATCGTCATTGAATTTTACATAGACTTTTTGGGGACTCTAATGCGCAAATTGAGGTGCTATGGTAATGGGTGTAAAAGCGTATTTAAGTTTGACTATTCAGAAATTATTTTGCCCTCCTTCCATAGTTATTTATTTCTATTTAGTCGAATCAATATTTATATTAAAATTTGTTCGTTTGAAATATAAATTTAAATTTGCATTAAAGACTAAAACTACGGGCCGGCAACGCGGACCGGGCCAGCCAGTTTTTAGTATATAAATTCGAGATACCAATAGACCCTCAACATAAAATTAGAGAATTCCAGCTCAAATTTAGTACGCATATCCAAAACAATCTATATCTCTCCATCCTTGAAACCAACAGTGATCCAAATTTAACTCCATTTAGTACTTTTCGTACAATTATATTACACATTTTCAAAACCATCACCAGATCCAAATCCCGAATACCAACAGAGACATTAACATCAATTACAAAGATTACAGCTTTTTCCATTAACCCAATACCAAATTTAGTACATTTCTAGTACGCATATCCAAAAGCAGCTCCTCTCTTGACCGCAGACACCAACAGTAACATCTATATCAAATTTAAGAACTGCAGCTCTATTCCTTCGCCCAATAATAAATTTTGTGCTTTTTAGCATTTTTCGTACAAATACAGGGTGAGACGAAAAACTACAACCAACTTCACACTTCTGCCATTTCTAAGCCACTCATCCGACAGCTGTTAAAATGATTCCAGTGATAGTTCATTATATTGTTTACAAGCGTACAAAAGCATTTTTGTGAGAATTTTCCAGAAAAAACGTTATTCGTTATGGAATTCAAACCTGATAGTGTGATTTTTTTATATTTGACTGGAAAACCACAAGTGGAGCACTCCAGCATTTAAATGTGAATAAATCTTTTGTGTCTCGTACCATCGCTCGTTACCGCCATACGGTTGGCGTAGCCTAACGTCAAGGAAGTGGATGGAAGAAAGACAACATCAGCAAAAATGTTCGAAAAGTAACGAAACGAATTGATCGAAACCCGCGTCGCAGTGGTCGAACATATCGCAATATTCCATTCGCAAAATATTGAAAAATGAGCTCGGAGTAAAGCCATTGACATTCCAAAAAGTGCAAGAACTTACACCGCAACGGAAAGAAAGTAGACTCAAAAGAGCTAATGAGTTGCTTCGCTTGGCCGAAAGTGATGAACTGCCGAATTTGTTTTTCTCCGGCAGAATAAATGCCGAATATTATGGCGAAAATATTTTGGAGGGTTTATTAAAGCCTTGAGCACGCAAACATTTTGGCCGCAGACCTTGGACATTCCAACAGGACTCAGCATCATCGCACACAGCACGCGACACCCAAGAATGGTTGCAAAATGAGTTCATTTCCACTACCACTCCGTTGGACTACTGTGTCTGGAGTATTTTGGAAAGCAAGTTTAGCACTAAAAAATACCAAAGTGTCGATCACCTCAAGCAAGAGCTTCGCTGGGAATGGATCAAAATACCGCAGAGCAACATTCGGGCAGCGTGTGACGATTTCATTGGTCGTTTGAAAGCCATAATTCGTGCCAAAGGTGACCAATTCGAACAAATCTAAACTTAGTCTAAAATTTGATGCTATTTCCGACATTTTTTGCTTTCATTCAATAAAATTAAAAAACTGTAAAAATTATGGCGCTTGACTTTGTTGCAGTTTTTTTATATCTCCACGTATTGTCCGTTTTCGATCCAAGCTTGTTCTACTATAGGCCACAATATTGAGATTTGCTTAGTTTGATGAAAATCGTTAATCTGCTTCGCATTATACGAGAGTTAGAACATTAACCCTTTGGAATATTTCAGACTATGAGATTGTGTCAATATGAGATATTTATTTTTGGAAGAATCTAGAACTTTTGTAAGGGAGGTACTAAAGGGAGTGGGATGATATTACCCATCTCGAATGTGGTAAAAAAATTACTATTTACCAAGTTTGGAATACATCGGATACTCGTGCAAACTTAAAGACAAGCAGACGGATGGGTGGATATGGCTAGATCGATTCCAAATGCCCTAAAACGGATTTCGTCCAAAGAGACGTAGGGTCTGATACCATTATATCGCTGGGGAATATTTAGGCCGGATCAAATGGCGTACGATGGTACGGTTAACGGTCAGGGACCACGATGACACTCGGGTTGTAAATGCTTTCGATGTTCGGGTTGTAGACGATTTCACAGTCCGGATTATAATCGGAAACTCTTGAGAATGGCGTTAGGTTCACAGGTTCGGGAGCCGTGTATGTGAAGTAGATGATCGTGAACTCGTATCGGTGCAAGGAGGTTAGTTAGTCAGTGAGCCCGAAATTAGCAACATTTTCCCGTCGAATTAGCAATAATGTAGAATTTTTGTGGATATTGAAAAAATAAACAAATATCTTATAGAGCAGATTTCCGTCATTTTATGTTTTTAAAGGACAACCTAGAATTACAAGCAGCCAACCCTTTTGTAGTTCTACCATCATGCCGTTTATATGTTTTGTAGCATTTCTCAACCTTGGCAACCCTTACCTCTTTAATTTGTCCACAACTAACAACTTTTACTTCCTATTTGCAATATTTTATAAGCAAAGTTATTTTCTGCACAACAACGATACCAACAACAACAACTACCAGCTCTTGAAATGCCGAAAACAATTCAGTGTAACATCACTTCTTGGACGGAAAATCGGAAGTGAATGTAAGTTGCTTTGGAGAAGTTGTTTGGGTAGGTTCGTGCAACTTTGGTTGTCAAGGCTGCCATTGTTTTGCATTTGCATTCCGAAATCAATTTTTCGATTCTTTTCTACCACTCCTGGTACGATGGAATTTATGGACTCTTTCCCTTTCCGTGGGGTAGCCAAATAAAATAGAATGGAAGAGTTTACCTACGTACCATTGCGGCAAAACAACAATTTAGTACGATCCAAACCGGAGCCGCGTGCGGAGACAACAGTTTTTTTGGTTGTCGCACCAAAAAAGATTCGTTTGTCGAACGTTTACGTTGGCAAAACGAACGAACTAGCCTTAAATTGTAGAAAGTAGTGAAGAAGTGAATTAGCTTAGAATTAGGGAAACTTGACGCCGAATCGACGCCATAGATAATTGCGAGAAGAATGCATTGGGACTGGGATTGGCATTTCGATCATCACTGGCATCGGTCTTGGGATCCGTTTTTCTATCATGGGAAATGTGGTTTTGGTCCAAGGTTTCGAACGAGTTATCTATGGAATTGTCCACACTATGATTGCAGTTACACGCTGCCGGATTGGTGCCACCATTCGTGTCTGACGGATCGAGTTTATGTGGAAACTGGCGAGGAGGATGATACATGTGGCAAGGGCACATTCAAGGTGGTCATTGATGTTCACCACTTTAAGCCGGATGAATTGAAACTGAAGGTTAAGAACAATGATCTGCTGATTTTGGATGGTAAGCATAAAGATGAAAGGGCCAACAAGTCCCCAGCCCTGTGTATTACCAAGGCCTTTACAAGGAAATATAAATTGCCACGGAACTATGATGCCACAACAGCTAAGGCAACTTTGTCCAAGGATGGCATTCTAACAATAATTGTGGCCGCTCCACCACCCTTAGATGATGTGGAAAGGGATATAGAGATTATGGAAACTGAAACGTATTTTGGATCGAAGGATGACAACAAACCAGCCATTGAAGAGGCAAAGGAGACGACTCCGGAGGAAAGTAAATGAAACAACAAATTACTTAAATTGTTTAAATATTTTAAACATCCTAGAAAAAATATAAGCCTTCCTGTGCAAGCTAAGCAGTAGAATTTCAACCGCATGCTGCTTTGGCAAAATGCAAAGCTTTGTAGCCAATCGTCGCAAAATCTTTTCAAATGGAATTTTTTAAAAATAAAATGATTTTAGTGTTTAACAAAATGTAGTGAACTTTAACGTAAATTAAAAAAAATAGTAAATTTTAAAGTAAAATAGAAAAAAAAAATAGATTGATTGTTCAGAACGTTCTGTGTAGCTAAGTAAAAGAAGAAAATTCATTTCAAGATCTTTTGAGAAAATTTAAAAAAAAAAAACAAATCATATCTCATCTCCATTTAGTTATAATGAAAAAAAAAAAAAACAAAATATTGAGTCATAAATTACCATGTTTTACGGAGCTAATTAAATAATTGTTATTTTCCTAATAAAATGCCACCAATTTAAAGCACCCTTAAACATGTTGTATTTGTATTGGTGAAAGTATTTCGTTATGTAGTTGAAGTATTTTCCAAATAAATTCAAAGGAATCAATTTGAAATGGTGTGTTGTTTGTACTATTTTACGAAGGGATCCATAAAAAACTTAAAAAAAATCACTATAATCAAGTTAAGAAGTGTCAGTTTGGGAGATAAGTATGTAATCTGAACAACAAACGACTGACAAAAAGTTAAAAAAATCTATAATTTTTTTTTTGACAAGAATTAAAAAAAAGAGAAATGAATAAATATTGGGATACACGAAATTTAAATGTGTAGGAGTAGCGTAGGGCTGTCTTTTCGGAAATTCGAGCTAAAGTGCTAAAAGGTACTAAAAATTTAATAAATTCGGAGAGATCCAGAGTTCTGAAATTTGGAATGAGGGTCGCTTATGGGGTGTAGCACAGTTGTACCAAAAGGAAAGAAAATCGAATTTATACTAAAGAACTAAAAAGTATTATATTTTTGGTACCATTTGGAATTATGTGATGGGAGAGAGCTAAAATCTTGACATTTGGTATAGGAATTAAGTTGGGGAAGTATAGTGGATATAAGGATGTGGCCTTGAGAAATGTATATTAAGCGGGGTCGACTATATGATACCCTACACCACTATGCATATTTAGTAGAGCTCCCGTAACGAAAGAATTTATTTGAAGTAGATCATACCACCTCTCAAGAGTTGGCTTTAGAGCAGTTATAGTTGTGTTTCAGAGGGAACTAATTTATAGGAGGCAAATCCAATTCTGAATCGATTTTCACCAAATTTGACGTAGACATTTTAATATGTTACACCAAACAACATTGCTATAGAGTGCATGATATCACTTCAAGGAGGACTATATTAAAACAAGTAAAAAAGCAGTAAGTTCGGCCGGGCCGAACTTTGAATACCCTCGACTATTTGAAACGGATTAAAAATTGTCAAAGAAATAAAATCCATTAAAATTTCTGTTAAAATTTTTAAATTACCAAATATCGGAAGGTGCCGATATATGGGGGGATATACGATATTGTGGACCTATATAGAAAAGGCTCTGTATAGGGGTAAAGTACTCACAAAGAACTCCTTGTGAAGAATTTCAGACAATTCGGTTGAAAAAAATGTGGTTGAGATACTAGAAGGAATGGACCGATACATCCCATGTTAACACCAGATCTTGAGTTTATAATAATATTGAAATGTGTGAAATTTGAAGACAATCGGACTCTTATATCACATTTTATAAGAGTTGTAATTATTCAAAATTTTGGCCCTTTGTGGGGGAGGTACTTGATGGAGTGGACCGATATTGTCCATTTTCGCACATAACCTTTCATTGATGAAAATATGAGGATTTGCAAAGTTCGAGCAAAATCGGATTATCGTTTCTCTTTTTGTGCAAAAAATATTTTTTGAAATATATGACCTTTTGTGGGGAAGGTACCAGAAGGAGTGGACCGATACATTCTGTTTTTGCACCAGACATTGGGCTAATAAAATTATTGGGATGTGTGGAATTTGAAGACTATCGGACTCTTACATCACAATTTATACGAGCTTTAATTATTCACAATTTTAACCCTTTGTGGGGGAGGTCCCTGATGGAGTGGACTGATATTGTTCATTTTCACACGTGACCTAGCACTGATGAAAATATGAGGATTCACCAAGTTCGAGCAAAATCGAATTATCCTTTCTCTTTCTGTGCAATAAATTATTTTCTTTGAAAATCTTGACATTTTGTGTGGGAGGTACCAGAAGGAGTGGGCCGATATTGCTCATCTCCGAACTAGATCTAAGTTTGACAAAAAATATTACGATGTACCAAGTTTGAATAAAATCGGATACTACCTTCGAGAGTTATCGTGCGCACCAGCCAGATAGACAGACGGACGGACGGTCGGACATTGGTAGATCGACTCCAAATGTTCTGAAACCGATTTGGTCCAAAGACCATTATTTCGACTAGGCACGTTTTGACCGTAGCAAATTATATATACCCTCTGTTGCCATATGGATGAGGGTATAATAATTAAAATACCGAATATTGGGGGTACCGTTATATGGGAGCTATACGATGTCGTGAATCGATATAGCCCACCTTCGAACTTGACTTGCCTGCAGACAAAAGAGAGATCTGTGCAAAATTTAAGATCCCTATCCTTATTCGTTTTGACTGTAGCGAGATTACAACAGACGGAAAATGCTAAATCGTCTTAGAATTTTACGCTGATCAAGAATATATATACTTTGTTGGGTCTACAGTGTTTTTTTTTTTTTTTTTTGAGTTACAAATGGAGTGACAAACTTAATATACCCTCCATACTATGTATGGTGGAGGGTATAAAAATGGGAGTTATGTCAAAGAAAATCAAACAAATAAAAAAGCAGCTAAAAGCGGCCCGTCGAACTTTTAACACCCTCCACCATTTGGAAGTAACTTGAAAATTTTCAAAAACTTCCGGAAACTACCACTTAAATAAAAACTGTTATATGGAAACTATATGAAGACGTGGACCTGCTTACGATTTTTTTGTCATAGGCTGTAGTACCAATTACGAACTTCAAATACCAAATTTGAAATAATTCCGGTGAATAATGTCACCAAAATTATCAAAATACCGAATACCGGGATGTACCGATATATGGGAGACATAGGAAAACGTGAACCTTCATACGATTTTTTTTATCATATACTGTTTTTGTTACAATTCCGGTGAATAAGTAATAATGAGTATTTGGAGGAACCGTCATATGGGAGCTATACGAAGACGTGGACCTGCATATATAAAATTTTTGTCAGAGACTGTAGCACCCATTACAAACTTCAAATACGAAATTTGAAATAATTTCGGTAAATAATGTAGCTAAAATCATGAAAATGCCGAATATCGGGAGGTACCGTTATATATGGGCTATACGAAAACTTGTGAACTATACATTAGCCTTCTATCGCAATTCGTTCCAAAGATAGCGTGATTACAACCGATAGACAGACGGACAGACAAACCGACAAACCGACGGACTTCGCTAGATCGTCTTGGAATTTTACGTAGGGTCTATTATAAATATATGGAGGAGTTACAAACAGAATGACAAAGTAAATGTACCCTCCATAGAATGGTGAAGGGTATTAAAGTATATTTATACCCTACACCACAAGGTGGTCAGGGTATTATGTCTTTGTGAATTTGTTTGTAACAGGCAAAAGGAAACGAGATACACCCATAGTTTCTTTTGATGATCTGCATAGAATCACATTCTGAGTCGATTTATTCATGTCCGTCCGTTCTTCTGTCCATGTATTTGTGTAAACAAAGTACAGTTCGCATTTATTGCCCTATCCAGATGCAATTTTGCACAAATCATTTGTTTGGCCCGAGGACGAACCCTATTGAAATTGGAGATAATCGGTCAAAATTTTGATATAGCTCCCATATGTATCTTTGTCCGATTTGCCTTTTATTGTGCACCAAACGTGTAATATCAGTCCGAAAAGTATGGAATTTTGCACGTACGATCAGATTGGACCTGAAAATAAGTATGCCAAATTTGATCGAAATCGGTTCAGATATATATATTGTTCATCCGATTTGTTATTTTTGTCCTCCTGTAACAACAATATTTAGGGTAATATATCAAATACAGCTCAGAAATACATTTGCTAAATTTTATCGAGATCGGTTCAGATTTGGATATAGCTCCCATATATAACTTCGTCCGATTTACCTTTTATTGTGCACCAAACGTCTAATATTTATCCAAATGGGATGGAATTTGGCACTTATGACCGAATTGAGTCTAGAAGCTAGTATTTCAAATTTGGTGAAGATCGGTTCAGATATAGCTACAGCTCCCATATATACTGTTCATCCGATTTGTCATATTTGTTACCCACAGCCGTAGTATGCACTCCGTAACAACGATATTCAGGGAAATATATCAAAAACAGCTCAGAAATATCTTTGCCAAATTTTATCGAGATCGGTTCCGATTTGGATATAGCTCCCATATATATTTTTTCCGATTTCAAATTAATTGTACACCAAATGGGCAATACATGTTCGAATTTAAAGGATGCAAATGAGCTTTTAACTTTAAATTATAATCATATAATATATAATTCTCCCATAAAAAACTTTTAATTGTTATGCGAAGCTCTACTAAATTAGCAAAGTGGTGTAGGTTATCATAAAGTCGACCCGCCCGTCTTTAAGGCTTTCTTTAAAGGTTTTTAATAAAGACAACTTTCTTTAAAGATATCAGCAAATTTTCACTAGAAAATAATTTTAAATGTTCTCTTCCTGCCTTCCTTTCAATTTTCGTTAAGCATTCTTCGTTTTGCCTTTTACATTTTCAATCTGTGTGTTTAGTCGAGTATGAAGAAATTCAGTTATTGCCGCTTACTTAAAGCTTATTGAAGTTTGAACAATATGTTCGATTCTTCGTGCACTTGATGCAATTTGTGTTAAGACATTTTCTGAGGTTCTTCTTCTTCTTTATTTTGCAATTTTATTTTTTCTGTTTTTTTTTTTTTCTTTTTTGTTCTCTTTGTTTTCAACATTATTGTTTGCCATAAGGAATCAATGTTTGGTCAGTCCGTTTTTTTTTTCTTCAACATATGTCTGATTATGAATGCAAATATAAACGATTGAAGTTGGAAGAACTCCAGCACAAGGCAACAAAAAAAAAGACGATGAAGAAAAAAGAAAGACAAGACAAGGTTGAAAAAGATTAGAAGTTGTTTAAAATAAAATTGAATTTGTTATTCATAAGATGCATGTTTAAGAAATGAATGAATGGGTTGCAGCATAAGTGGCGAGTGCACATATATGTGTGTGTGTG